TTCGGGCATTCTTCCTGTCGGCCAGCATTTCAGGCTCGTCGCACTCACGTATTTCGGCCTCCCTCTTAAGATCCTATAGCGATCCCAAATAGCGCGAGTTGCGCCCGATCGTAGCGTGGCCCTTTTATCTCAGCAGCTTGCGATGTTTGGCCCTCGGAGTGTACGTACGTCAAAACCAATGGAAGCATGTCTTCCGTCTATCACAACATGAGGCATTGCTTCGCTTCTTCACTGGAATGGGTTTTTACGTGGTGGGTCGCAGACCCAGCGCACAACCCATTGCTGGTACGGGGGTGGTTTCGCAACCAAATACACGTTTATATAGCGAGCCGCTTGCTCCAAGACATACACCCGCTTGCAGCGGCACCTACCGCTGCAGACTTCAGTCAGCCCTTAAACAGAATAAGTCGGAGTGGCCCCACCGAAGCTGCGTCTCTCTCTGTCGCGACCCAAGGCTCCCCTCGGATTGGTTACCGCATCTCGCACATGGGTTGCTCTTGTTGCCCAGAGTGCGCGAACGAGGACACAAGAGTCGGGATTGAGTGTAACCGTGCAACTGTAACTGTATACCAGCATAACGACTATACCTCAATGCGCTCCCGCAAAGACCCACCAGTTACCGAGTTTTCAAGTCCTTTTTGGAATGCCTTAAGCAATGTGAATACTATTTTAGTCCAGTGTCTCTTTCGAAATGGCCTTGGATACCATTGTAATGTCCTTTAGTTTATGAAAGCAATTCGCGCTGACTAAATGTCAACAACACAGCTTCTAGAGGAAACTAATGCAGCACAAAATAGTCTTAAAACTTGCAGAGCAATAAATTTGTACACCTGAATGACATTCTAAGTGGAATTTGAAATTTTTTGTATACATTTTTACGACTCTTTCCATAGTACAGCGCTGTAACGCAGTGCTATTGAAACTGCACTCGCTGAATGCGATGAATGCTTGTGGGCTATGGGCAGCGATCAATTCTGACGGGTGCAGCGTCCGATAAGGTATGGAAAATAAAACTAATGAATACAAACCAGTATTTTTAAAAGGTGATTACAACGCACGCCAACCCAACAACCAAACAACAGCCCAGCTATGCAGCAGTGCACCAAGCTGGCAAGTAACAGGCATAGACTCAAACGATAGCCCGCTTAGGTGAAGCTCGGTGTGCTGGCAGCTTGCAATCGTTAGTGGTGTTGTTGTTGTTTCTGATGCTGCTTTTGGCTATGCATTTTGGCTGGTTCCTTCGAGAAGGGGCACGGATAGGAGCGAAGGTCGGAGTGGGAGCAGTAGAGCGGATAGGGGCAGGGGTAGCGCTGGGCCTGAGGCCGATGCTCATTTCAGCTCATTAATTCTGGAGATCCATGCTGTGGTATGCGAATGCCAACACACCAAACGACGTATGTACGTCCATATATACACATAAGTACTCAAACCGATATATGTTTTCTTAATAACACATACGTATGTATGTATGTATGCACATTAGAGTGGTCCAAAAAACCATATGAAAAAGTAAAGTCGGAATTTGTATGTTCTCACCCCCTAAGATTGTTCTATACCGAAAAAAGTATACCATTCTTTTTTATTTTGAAATTAAAAAGTATTTAGAGGTCGCTCAAAGCGCTTAAAGTTTTGAATGCATTTTATATGGGAAAAAACAACTTTTCGTAGAAATGGTATATGATTCTTGAAAATCAATACGTTGCGATCGGAAAACCCTGTTTCTCTTCGAGAAATTCCCAATAACAATACCCAATTATTTAGTTAACCATTTTTTCATAGTAACTATCTTTTATAGGTCCGCCAAAATCACCAGATAATGCCTGAAAATGCAACTTGGTGATAAATAAAAAAAGCTTTAGTATTAGAAAATGTAAAAAAAAAATTGGATATTGTTACTGGAAGTCAGCTGTTCTACGAACAGTTGTTTTTCCCCATATAAAATACATGGAAACTTTGAGTGCTTAGAGCGTCCTCTAAATATTTTTTTATTTCAAAATAAAAAATAGGGGTCTATTTTTCGATATAGAACAATCCTGCTTTACTTGTTTTGTACCACCCTAATGTACATACATATTTGGGCTTGTAAGTATGTGTGTTTGAAAGAAGACATGTAGATTTTACTTGTCAATAGAGTTGCCAACTTTATGCTAGACTTAACTGTACAAAAATAAATTTCACGTGCATTTTTAATGCCCTTACCCCGAAGAGCGCGAATAAAAATCAACCAGAAACAAAATGTGGGATTCCAGGAAAAGCTCGGGTGGCATCCCTGTTTACCTATATGTGTTATAATGTGTGCTTGGCCTGTTGCATGCATCGTGGTAGCTTGCAAAATACATACATACCTACAAGAAAAAGCAGATTCAAAAAGCTGTACAAAAATGTTCCTTAAAAAACCAGAAAGACATAAAAAGTCTGAAGGCACAGCAAATATTGTACAATAATAGCAGCAGCGTGCAAGTGGCGATGTTAGAGGAAGACCAGAAGAAACCAACAACAGAAACACTTGAAGAATATGAAAAATGCAATGGCTTTGCCCGTGTAGCATACAGGGAAGTGGAGAGCAGAGCAGATGTCTGGCCCCCAGGGCCAGAGGGCTCCGCCAGACGACGGAGGCTACACTGGCAATTGGCAGCGGACACAAGACGCGTGTTCAGTAATTCAGGTAGCAGTTGCGCGCATTGCTTTAACACGAGTGCGATCAGGCGAGCACACAGACAGACGGACGGACGGACGGACGGACGGACGGACGGACGTCCGACAATCGTCGTTGCTGGAGATGGTGGATGTTGGTTGGATGGTTGGACGGTGGAAGATCTACAGCCGCTACAACCAGTAGCAGCCATGACTGCATGACCAGAAAATGAAACAGCATTGACGCTATGCCGGGTTGATTGCCAGAGGGGTGAGGAACAGAAAAAGTAAAACAAAAACAAAAGCCTCTTACAGCAGCAAAAAGAATGTAAGAGAAGAACAAAATCGTGAAAGTATAAAAGCAGTACCAGCCAACATTAAAAGTAGCAACCACATTGCAAATAGAAAGAAGACAGGAACATAAATACAGAATCCAACTGCTTAGGAATGCTGACCAAACTGGCTGCTGGCTCTGGGCTGCCAGTTTAACAACTACGATTGGGATTGGGTCCGCATGTGGGGTAGGCCTGTTGAGGGGAGAGACTGAGGTTCAGTGCAGAGATAAGTAGCAGTTGAAAAGACGGACAGGGACCAAGCATGCACACACATACACACTATCGTGCCAACATACAAGCCTATAGCAGTTGAAATGCACTTATAATTTGTGGTTGTATTGGATGAATGCCTGCATGCATGCAGCTGGATGTTGTAAAAGTACGACCATTGCACATTGCATGGAGACTGAATGTATGAAATTGTTGATGTATGTATGTACCTATGTGTGTCGTATGTAGAAATGTACGTAAACGTATTTATACGTGCGTGGCAGGAAAATGGTACGACAGGAATGCATCGCATGGCTTCGAAGGCAGAATGTTTTCTGCAGCAGAACACTTGCAACTTGCAACATTTTCGGTTCAAAAAAACAAAAAACGATGTCACGTTGTGCATGCCATTTTGATATATGTATGTATGTATTCATGTACATATATACATACATTCATACATATATGTATGTATGAACTGAAGTATGTATACATACATAAATGTACGCGTATCGGCAAGTATGTATGTATATTGTACATGAATTTTTTTTAAACTCTTCAAGGAGTTCAAAATACCACCAAGAATGAAAAATTATTGGCCTTATTCATAAAAAATAAAGTAGGCTTGAAGAGCTTTATAAAATGACGTTTTCATACATTTTTCAGTTTATAAACCTTTTTTAAAGCTACTTTATTTTTTATGAATAAGGCCATAAATGTTTAAAATGTATAACTGAAATTTGAATTCTTATATTTTTATAGATGTTAAAAAATGCTTTGCACTTACGGGTTCTCGATTTGAGGAATGTTGACATTTTAATTTTAAAATAAAAGAACGGTTTTCTAGAATTAATATTTTTTAATATAATTATATATATATATGGGCATATCTCTACAACTGTTGATTTTCGACATTTGAAAAAAAAGTTGTGACACACTCATCTAACCGATTTCATCTTATTCTTTGAACCTTGAAATATAAGTAAAAAATGGAAACTCAGTTTTCAAGCTCGATATCTAATGTAAAAAAGAGTAACACAAAATTAAATAAATAACACTAGGAGTTCGATATGTCTGAAGTCCGTTATTATCCATCACGTCACAAAGCATGACAAAAGTTATGTGACGATTTTTTTTTTATAAATATTGACGGATTTACCTTTATCTTGGTATGTATTGGTTCTTGAGGTTGCTGGTTACGAATATGAAATCAGATTTTCAAAATTCAAAATCGAACTTGGTGGTCAAAGGCATCAAATGTTATAAGAATTAAATTTTTTTCACAATTTGACTGCCATATTCGATCCGTCATTTTCAATTTTCATATTCGTAATCAGCGTGCTCAAAAACCCCTGAATACCAAGATTAAAGTAAATCCATGAATATTTGAAAATTTTGGTCTGTCACCTAAAGTCCGCCATGTATTTTTAGGTTATAAAGAAATCCTGACAATCCAAACAAATTCGGTACAGGAAATGCAGCGTGCAAAACAAACAATGCTCAATCATCACTTTGACAAGCTGGTGTTTTAGATAGGTTTGGGGTTACAACGAGAGGGTATCGTTCCAGATTGTATAATACACTAAATACAGTAACTCGTATAATAATTTATTTTCCTTTGAAAAATACCCAACAGAAGATATAGCGATTTTGACCATATACCTACGAAACTATCTGTAATCACCAAAATCAAAAACTTTAAGATACTTACGTGTATGTACATATCTACGTAGTGATAAGTATGCATAAATATGTACATATGTATGCAGGATTTCGCCTTTTTAAACGTGTGAAACTAGTTAGCGCAAATTTTTAACTTACCTATGAGCACCGCCAAACCGAACAATTCTGTATCGAGCATGCCTTGCGCTGCAAAATGTAGGCATGTTTGTGTGTACACTTCTCTCACTCGACTCTTGGCATCGACTAGGAAGTATAATGTTTTGGGCTGTTGATTTCCCAAAAGCCTGCAAAGAAAAGACAACGATTTTTTTAAATTAAATATAACATAATATTTGCAGCCAGACGTATACATAAATATAAATGTTACTTTCTAGATATTTTTTGTCACTTTTGTTCACCAAACGCAATTATTTGAAATGAGTTCAATAGCTCTTGCAAAACAGCTAACAATCAAAACAAGTGCGGCTACGAACATAGTGAAAGAATGAAATTCAAAAAAGATTTGTAAACCCCTGACAAAGAGAGTGCGGATCCTTAATGGGACCTGTTTGGCGCGATGAATATGGTATCCCCGCGAAAGTAATACGGACGTGTAAAGTAACGTTAAGCGTTACCACCAGCTCTTTAGTTTCATACTCAGACAATGCGAGCCCTGCTTAGTTATTATTAGCAGGTGACCTATTCGGAAGAGGGTACTGCGTTCGTTCTTACAGACCATTGTTTGACGAGCAGAGTACACGACTAGGACTACCTAAATGAAGCATTAAACTTCTACTAATGGGAAGCTGTAAACGGTGAAAAGAGTTGGAATCCGTGAAGATCTCCATATGTGAATATCCCATACTTCAAGGAATGCGCATCGAATTACTGGGGAACATTTTCTTCGAGAATTTGGACAGCTTACTGGAGGAACTATCTGGATTCGTCATCGGGGTGGTTTAAGGGTGTGTAGGGACAGGTTTTCAAGAAAATACTCTTCCTGACATCATAATGAGGACAGACCGTAGAACCTAACCTAACCTAGTCTTCGAAAATTATTATACTTCTAACAGTATTCACAAATTCAAATTTAAAGTATAAGCATTTCGCTACCCAAAAGGGAAAAGGGCCCAAGTCCACTTTTTTCAAAATTAGTTTTTGATGCAGAATGACAGATAATGCGAAACTACATCGATTTTTCGTGTCTCCTGAACAATTTCAAAAAATGGACTCGGCACCTTTTCACGTTTATGTAGCGATATTATATAAGCAAAATAAGGGAAATGCTAATGGCGTTAAGGATGAACTTGACCCAGATGTCATGATTCCTCCTTATCTCAAATCAAAACTAAAAGAACTGTAAAATGTATTAACATATTCACAGAGAGATATGCAACTTTGATTTCAGTTCATAGTTTGCCTCGAAGAGCCATTTGTTTATTTACAAAGCGCTCTGGAATATTCGAATTTTACCTTAAACTTTGCTGTATTTTAGAACGGGTTGCGGCGATGTGCCAGCTTCAGTGTAATTTTTTTCAAAATGTGTCATATACAAACCCTTTTGGAAACAACAACGACCAAAACGAAATTAATTACTTTATTTGATCTACCTCAAAAGATTTAGGGATTCAAATAAGAGTTCTCAAGAAAAGTGGAAATTTCATATAAAATTACTCACAAGAAATGGAATAGACACTTTTTTTTATCAAAATTTCTTAAACCAGTTTGCAGCTCCCAAGAAAAAAATGCTCTTATATTTATTTCTTCAAGAAAATTTCCAGCAGAAGTACTTTTTCAAGCAACAGAAATAACGAAAAATATTTCCTATGATTTTTCTTGATAGTTGTAAACAGCCTTAGCTCATAAAATTGTAAGTCGGAAGGTATAATCTTAAAAAATTGCATAAAATATAATACAGCGAGAAGGTATACAGCTTGCCCTTTTTTTTAAATAAAGTTAAAGTTTTGTCGATGAAAAAATAAAACTAATCTCACCATTCTTTATTGTAAGGTTTGAAATAAGACTTTACAACGTTTACATATCGTGTGTATTCTATAAATGTATATGAAAATACATAAATATAGGTTTCATCGAAATATATAATGGACCTTGAATATAAGCTCAAGTATACCCGTGAATATCTATGGTATCATGATAAAAACAATAAAGTCACCTCACTTCTTATAAAAGAACTTTGGCGTTTTTTTTGCAATATTGAAAACCTCAAGGTATCTATTTACCGTGTTTTTTGGTACACAGTTTTTGGCGGATTCTATGTTTGGTTAGGCTAGGAAGGTTTGTACAGAATATTCCATACTTTCACTCGGAGATATAGTTGTCCATCTTCAGTGAGTATGAGGAGCAGACGCATTCCCCTAACCAGCATTAACCTTCTGAACCAATTGCTATTTTAAATGAATCTGAGAAGATTCAAGAGTTTCATCTCCGCTATCTCCGCCAGACTGTTAGAGAAGCGTGATCCCAAGTACGTGAGACGCTTCGACTGTACGCCCGCAAAGCGAAACAGAATGTTGGCAATTGATTCAAGCTCGGTAATTGTTGGTATTCGACATCGCTGCAGTGACTCGTGATAACGCACAGCGGGAAATATCGGAACAAATTCTAGACGCGGCGCAAAAAGTTAAGTTATTAAGTTTCAGAAGGTATTATATCTTTTGCTATTAAGCCACGGTAATAACATCCTAAGACCTCACAGTTTGCTCGCTAGATGCTAAGAGCTATTAGTTAAATTTAATGTCCGATAATTTGATTTAGTAAAGTTAACTAGAGAATATCAAAAATGGAGCCATCATTCTTCTCATAAGTAGTAAAAATCGATATACATACATATATCGATGCAGACGTTTACACTAACCTTAGTGCTAAAAAGCGTGATCCTGGTGACAGTTGTTCGGCCGATGACGCGCATACTTCTAATGGCGCGCTGACAGTACAAAACGCTCGCATGCTGCATCATTACTTAAACGCAACAAGTCCTTCGGAAATATCTTTCTGTAAATAAAAGGAAAAAGATATTAATAACAAGCCTAAAAATATTCTTTGGGGAAATAAATTTTTGATATATGCAATGTATGTACTTATCTACAATATGTGTGATCAAAGCAATACAGTCGTTGTGCGAAAACAAGTTATTAACTCATATACTTCTATATGCTTCATAAATAGATACATAGGTGTCTAGAATCATTATATAATCAACTTCTTCCCCAATTTGTATGCTCTTTTTTCAACTATTCTGCACTCTTCTCTACATAAATATATAATATGTATCAATTTCGACGTGAGTTCAAATTGGTAGTCAGAAGCTCCAACACAATTAACTAATCCACCAAATCCCGGCATTAGCTTTATTCCGTATTCGCTTATTTTCTCCATATTTTTCAAGTCGATATACAGTATCGGTCATATCTATAGCACGCCATTTCAAAGTGATATTGTGTGCCGCTTATGTTTATTTATTAATTTTTAAGAATTTTCAATTAAAATAAAGTTCATTCTCAGACAAATCCGATACAAACCCAAGCTTAATAATTTGTAGAAAGCTACAAAAAGTGCAACAAATTTTCACATAAATTTCAAACTTTTTTCTCGGAAGTGTTAGAGTTTTTTTGAGTACACAGTTTTTAGCCCCTTCAATTTTAGTCTGTTAATGTGCAAATTTAAAAAGGCTACGAATTAGCGTTTATTTTTTAGAATTTTTTTTTTGTATAATGAATAAACTCAATTTATTTGTATATGGAAGCAATCCGCAACACCTTTGGCGAAACAAATTCTAAAAAATCAACGGTAACTTTTAGCCACTTGAAACTTGCACATTATTAGACTAAAATTGAAGGGGCTAAAAAACTGTGTACTCAAAAAAATTCTTACACTTCCGAGAAAAAGGTTAAAATTTGTTGCACTTTTTTGTAGTTTTCTACAAAGTGTTACACTGTGGTTTATATGGGGTTTGTCTGAGAATGAACTGTATTTTAATTGAAAATTCTTAAAAATTAATAAATAAACATAAGTGGCACACAATATCACTTTGAAATGGCATGCTATAGATATGACCGATACGGTATGAATACCATGCATTGGTATACATTTCGTCGCTCCCAACGAAGAGTAGCACATCTCAAATTACCGTGG